TAGCCCAACAGATGGGAATTAAAGTAGCAATAAACCGGCCATACAGCTTGAAGAACTAACAACCAGTGGGGACATTAAGCATAGGAAGTAAGGGCAAGTGTATGTCTATTGGACATTAAAATTTCTTCTACGCTATTTATTCTTCCAACAGTATTCAGACGGTGTTTCCTTGATCGCAGTTGACCAGGAGTTCATCATTATCATCATTCATAATTTAAGTGAATGCGTGAGAGAATTAGGATAATATTCTTAACCATATAAGATAAGACTTTAAGGACTAGAAAAATTCCATTTACCTTAATAAATAACTAATAAAAACGAACGTAACCAACTTTATGTACATAATGAGCATGCCAGTGTATAAATAAGAAATAAATAAGGTAGTCTAACGTTTCTCAACGTCTAGCGCATAAAATATTGCAAACTCTTAGGGCTCCTAGTTCGAGAATGTACTTCGTTAAACATTTATTTTGCCGATACTATCATCAAAAGTCTACGTACTTTATTAAGGAGGTTGAAGGCTGTTAGTCTCTATAGTATTTGAATTCCATCTTTAGTAACTTAAGTGTTAGCTAGTGTACGACTGGCTGCATACTGAAATACGAAAAGGTTATGCGGTCGGATGTACTTAAATAGATTTATTTAAATATCAGAAAACTATTTTAATTATGGGTGCAAATTATTTACAAAGTATGTAGTTCAGTTATTCATTTGATTGGTTGATTCGAAACAAAAATAGTAATGAATGTCTACGTTGGAAATAAGGTTATTTGCCAAGTCTGTGGTATATGTATTTATGTATACAATTGTTTTGTTACATCATCACATTTCGTGCCGTGGTTGTCTAGGCGAGTATAATAAGCCAGACGTAAAGTATTCAGACCGGCGACGAGAACTAACATTATGGATGCAAGAAGTATAATACTGCGATCGGTAGTCTACCTTCCAAATGGGACAATTACGGCAATTCCCATGTTCAGCTGTGTACAAGATAATTAAGAATGATATAAAATAGAGTTTTATAGATATCGCAAGAGGAGACAAACGGAAACTGGCACATAGTTGTAGAACGAATGGGTCGGCTCGACCGGAGAAGGACCACGCTCTCACAGAATACCTGCGTAAAATAGCAGTTTAACGCTGCTGTGTTTTGTACGGTGAGTGTAAAGAACTGGAGACCCCTTTGTACTGGAAAAGAGGCAATCCATTTTAGTCCTCACGGGTGACAACGCATCTGCATTTTGATTCGTGATCGGCCGTGGCCGCAGTACTTACCATCATGTGAACTGTGTGTTCGCTTGTCACCCTTAAAAAAGTAAAGTAAAGTTACAGCCTATATACGTCCCACTGCTGGGCTCAGGCCTCCCCCTCATTTTCTGAGAGGGTTTTAGGGCAAGGAAGTGTTCGCCGCGCTGCCCAATTGCGTGTTGACGAACTTCACATGTCTTCAAAATATTTTTTTTTCTTATTCCTCAGACATACAGGTTTCCTCACGATGTTTTCCTTCACCGTCGAGCACGTGGCAAATCAGCACTTAAAATTGCAATTAACAATTTCATTGGTGCCGGCGGGGATCGAACCCGGGTTACTCGCGTTCTGTTATATTTACAGCGAGCGTTAACCACTGAGCTACCACGGCTCAAAATCTCCCTTATCTTATAAAAAAAGATGCTGCTGGTCATCACAAATGATAGGCAGTCTTCTTGATAACAACGAAATAACAAATAGTGTAAACAAAAGCAAAAAAACTAACTATAAACAAAAAAAAATAGAAAATACCTTTACAACCTGCCCGCCAAGCGTGGCCATTGTGGTTGTGGTTGCTATCCCTGATTCAAGACATCCTATGGAGAGGGTAATTTTCAGTAGAATTCGACGGCTCCGTGTCGTAGTGGCTTAGCAATTAGTTTCAGCGCTAAGGGCCGCGGGTTCGAATCCCGCACGGAACAAGTATTTGTATGGCCTACAAGTAATTGTTCCGGGTCTGGATGTTTGTCCTTGTGAAATTTATGTTTGTGAACTGCCCCCACGATACAGGAGAAAATCCTAGTGTGGAGGTAACGTTTTAATAAAAAAAGAAAAATAAGTGTTGTAATTAAAAATGATGATGGAAAATGAAAATTTGCTAGCTCTTTTGTTGAACTTTAGTCAATTTATAGGGAATAAGTACCATCTTTTGAACGAAAGCTAGCTTTTTAATTACCTGAGAGTTTTTTTACCAGCGATTAACGATGAGTCAGAGTACAGAGCCTAACCGAAGCTAAAATTTTGTACAAAAATACAGTGGCTCTGGTAGTATTGTAATGTAGGCGTGACCCTGATACGATTTTCATCCGATTTTATGAAGTAAAAAAATACGAGATATTTTTTTATTATTTGCCTTCTATAAGTCATGAGTTCTTGAAATAGGTGATGGAACTGCATATTACTCAAGAGCTGATAGGATTAACCGAAAGCTAACGACACTTAGTTACTTAACATAACTAATGTTTATTTGATTTCTCTTTCAACTCAGAAGTAGGAAGGTTTTACTTCCTTTAAAATTAAAAAAATAGAATGTGCATGAATTAAAAAAAACTGTAATACGACATTATATATTTTAACATTCTAATATTTTAACACATAATCAATATTCTAATCCTATAATAAAATAGCTCTAAGTTCAAGAGCTTACTTTATACGACATCATTTTATTTGTATAATTATATCTAGTAAGTTCGAGCATTTTTATTAAACTGACTGTAATAATTATTTTAAATACATCTACGTTTTTTATATAGAACATTTCACTTTAATATTCAACTCACGTTAAAGGAGCTTTTGTGAAAAAACCCGGCTTTGTTTGTGCCGTACACAGGATATGTCAAAAGCAAATATTTAGCTGGGGCAGACTTATTACGTCAAAAGCACTCCAGCATAAAATGTGTTGTCACTTATCTTCGTTTCGTACTACGAGTATGACATTATCTGAATCAATGTGCAGTATCTTGGTACTAAAACTTGTTTAAAACAAATAATAATAAATTTAAAAATATTTTGTACCGGTAATCCCTAAACACGATTTACAATATTTGCCACATTATAGACTTTAGAGAGTAACAAATTAGCATAGTCCAACCGATCGTAAATGGAAGCTGTTCTCAATAGACACCTTCATCTTAAGTCGATTAAAAATTAAAATGCATACGCAAAATGGGATGTCATACCTTAAAACTAAAATACAATGGATTGTTATCAGTAAAAATGGTCTTCGATTCCCGTCACACATGATACGAAATACATACTTACATTGCATCACACTTGTAATCCCCGATGGGACAGGCAGAGACCAAAGAGTAGCGAACTGCTTAGAATACAATTGAGCAGAATTCTGTTGTTATTGCCAATTGGAAGTAGCATATTCGTGCTGCAGCTTGCAGATCTTACTAAGTTATTATATGGGTTTTATCTGAAATTGATAAATTTGAAAAGTGAATATGCCATAAAATTGTGTAGAAAAAAAGGAAGTTGACAATATTATCAATATGTTATTAAACAAGGCTTTTTTTGTTACAGCTATCGTCTTATGCGCTCATGCTGCAGAAAACAATGGGACGAATGTTGAAGAGGGTGATACGCTTAAAAGACAAATACAAGAGGGGCAAGAAGATCAAATGTACAGATCAGCAAGAAAACAGGTAAGGCACGTTGTAATTTATCGAAAGACGGAATTATTGACATTTTTTTGGTATTGTTGTTGTTCTCCAACTGTTAGGGCGGGACGTTGACGACTAATGACTGAAAATCAATTCAAAAATATTCGTTCCATAGTCTCAATAGATGTGTGTGTCCTTTGCATGAAAATATTACAATAAAGGCATACCTACCACATGACTTTGGACTCTTTATTTATTTATTTTCCATTAACTGTTTAAAGTTTTAAGATAAGTGAGCTGATAAACTATCAATGAGTACCAAGTATCTGATGGCAAGTGGATAATGGTCCATCGACACTTACTCTCTGTATTTGTCTTCGATTAAAAATCGAAATCCAGATGTGTTGTTACCGCTGAGGACTGAATTTATGCTGCTATTTATGATATTTATAAATAGATATCAGACCAATTTCAAAAAAGGCCACCGACTCGTTTTAACGACTAAGGATATATCGCCTTCGAAAGAACTATATTACCTTATATTACAGTAACTAAAATTGTGCGCTATATAAATGTACCAAAGCAAACACTACAACTATACTCAAAAAATATATAATGTATGGCAATACATGTTTACAACAAATTGCCTGTTTGTTTCCAAGAGATGAAAATATGAATCTTTAAAAGTAAATTATTTTAATTTCTTTTAAATAAATGTTATTACTCAATAAATGACTTCTTAAATGATACATTTGATTCGAACTGTAATTATTGAATAGAAAAACTTAATTTATTGTCATGTTTTAACAAATATTATGAATCGATTGATATTCTTGTTTTATATAGATTTAGTTTCTATAGGTATTGCTGCAAGTATCTGAATAGTATATAATAATTAAGGTCTTAATTTTCTATTATATCCTAAAACGCCGGACGCCGGAAATGACAGAATATTTTAGATCAAAATTCTTTTATAACAACTGTAATATTGTAAAAAATAAAACTTATCTTATCTTATCTTAAATATTTCTGAGGCCTGTGTAGATGTTAGTTAGACTTAATATTAATATTTTACATTTAGTTATACAAGCAAATAGCTATATAAATACGTCTTCAATTCAATTTACTAACGACCTTAACCAAATTTAAATTTATTTACGTCGAATAATTAACCAGAAACAAAATAACTTGTATTATGTTACTAAAACAGATTTTAATTAACATAGGCTTCATTTAAATTTTATTTCATTAATTATGTTCGATAAACGTAACACAATTATGAGAGTGGAAGATGCTAATGTTTGTTACACGCCCGGCCTAGTTTGAATTTAACGTTCATTAGGGATTGAACAAGTAGTCTTGTACTCACAAACGAAGTAATGTAGGCTGCAATGATTAATATTTAATTTTAAGTTCATATATTTATAAAGTATGGTATACGGGTAAATACCACTCTTAAATATGTTTTAATTTACACTCATAGATATGTTTTAATTATCTAGACAGGCCTGTTGGTCTAGTGGTTAGTGACCCTGACTGCTAAGCCGGAGGTCGTGGGTTCGATTCCCACCCAGGACAAATGCTTGTGTGATGAGCACGATCATTTGTTCTGTGTCTGGGTGTAATTTATCTATAATATTTATGTATTTAAAAATATATAAGTATGTTTATCAGTTGTCTAGTACCCATAACACAAGCTCTGCTTAGCTTGGGACTAGATGGCGTTGTGTGATAGTTGTGGAATATTATTATTATTATTATTATTATTATTATTATGTGTGGGGTATCTATATAGTTTTCTCATCTGGTTGGGATGTATAAATATATAATTATAAACGAAAATGAAAAGATAAACATACAAAAATATCAATAAAATAAAATAAATATGAAAATACATAAATAAATAAAAGCCCAACCAGATGGAAGCCCTCGGCAGGGGAGACCAAACGGCCGAGGGTTAGGGGGAAAGGGAAAGAAACCGGCGGACGATGCGGGCGGTATCGAGGAGCACCGCCTTCTGCATTTGAGCCTGGAGCGGTCCGCCACGTAGTCCCAGCCGCCTCAGATGACCCGAGAGGCTGACTGGGATTAGCCCGTTTGCAGAGACGACTACAGGAATAATTTCGGTCGGCAGACCACCCCACATGTCGGTCACCTCGTGAGCCAGGTCCAGATATTTTGTTTGCTTATCTGTTTCGGCTTTCACGAGGTTCTCGTCACACGGAATGGTAATGTCGACCAAAAATATCCTTGACTGTGCCCGGTCCATCAGCACAATATCAGGCTTATTCGCAAGAATAGTCCTGTCTGTGATGATGGCCCGGTCCCAATAGAGCCTGGCGCGATCATTTTCGAGCACGGCTTCCGGCAAGTACTTGTAATACGGCAACTTCCGATCCACGAAACCGTATTTCAGAGCGAGCTCCTGGTGTAGAATTCTGGCTACTAGGTTGTGCCTGTGCAAGTACTCAGAGTTAGAAAGCGCCGAACAACCGGAGATGACATGCCTAAGTGACTCACCGGGATGGCGACAAGCTCGACAGATGTCGATGGTGCCATCCTTTAGGATGTATCTCCGATAGTTGTTGGTCTTAATAACCTGATCCTGTATTGCACAGACAAAACCCTCGGTTTCCCCTAAGAGGTCACCAAAGCGTAGCCAGTGGAGAGAGGTTACTGTGTCTACGAAAGGCCCATGTAGAGACTTGTAGAACCTCCCGTGGAGCTCCTTCTCCTTCCATACGGTCTCCCGGTCGGAAATTGTCTGCACTGCCGGGTCTTGCCATTGCTCGTTGGCTAAGGATAGAGGGGTAAGTCCTTTATCACAAGAAATGACGTCCTTATAGAATGGATCATCCGATCTCGCCAGGAAGTAATTACGGAGGCTGCACACTTCGCGATTATGCATGGTGAGCGCGCTCAAGAAGCCACGCCCACCATGCTTTCGCGGCAAGTACAGCCTCATTACCGACGATCTCGGATGATGCATCCTGTGGGACGTCATGGTAGTGCGGACTTTTCTATCCAGGGCGTTAAGTTCAGTCTGAGTCCACCTGAGTATGCCAAAGGTATACATGAGGACAGGTATGACCCAGCCGTTATATGCTTGTGTCTTATTCACACCGGACAAAAGGCTGTTAAGCACTTTGGTCAAGCGTGCATAAAACACGTCGCAAACTGACTGTTTCATACCAGCCTCATCGATACCAATGTTCTGTGACATACCCAGGTATCGGTATGTTTCAGCCTCGGAAAGGGTCCTTAAGTTGACGGGCATAGATAAGTCTATGCCCTCAGAGTTAGCAACCCTACCCCTCTCAACATGGAGGACCGCACACTTATCCGTCCCCAGCTCCATTCCAATGGAATTGCTAAATTCACAAGTGATGTTTAGCAGTTCCATAAGATGGGAGCGACTGGAGGCGAATAACTTGAGGTCATCCATATAGAAAAGGTGGGTCACTTTTGTCCCTCCTTTCCGTAGCTGAAATCCCCTCCCGGAGCCCTCCAGTAAGGTACTGAGAGGGTTCAGAGAGAGGCAGAACCATATTGGACTCAGACAATCGCCCTGGAAGATACCCCTTCTTATCCTTATGTGGTTCTCCGCAGCCATCATCCGCTCGCCCAGATGACAAAGGATCGTACTCCACTGCCCCATACACTGCTCGAGGAAGTCTCTAACTGTACAGTCTATCTTGTACAGTTCGAGGACCCTCTTTAGCCATGTATGGGGCACCGAGTCGAATGCCTTTCTGTAGTCTATCCAGGCGGCGGAGAAGTTCCGACGGTTGCGTTTCACCACTTTGCCAATGACCGCGTCAATGAGGAGTGGTTCCTTGGTTCCACGACCGCCGCCCCGACCCCGACATCCATTTTGAGCGCGCGACATCACCTGATTTGAGTCCAGGTGACGAGTGATTCTCGCGCTCAAAATGGATGTTAGTGTCTTATATATGGTCGGTAGACATGTGATGGGGCGGTATTTGCTCGGGTCTGTGGTACTCTGGCCTTTAGGGACCAAATGGGTGATCCCAGTAGTGAAGAGGCTCGGGAGCGACTTCTGGTTGAGAACCTCTTGAAACTGTCGGGCGAGCACAGTGTGACACACCACGAACCCCTTCAGCCAGTAGTGATGCAGCCCGTCGAGTCCCGGACTTTTCCAGTTCGGGGCCCTACGGACCGCCTCAGCTACGTCATCCGGCGTTATGGTGACGGGGTCCATGGGCGTAATACCCGCACACTGACTCGCCACAACTTCCGTCCAAGGGCCCTCGTTGTGGTTTACGGGCTCTGACCACAGGCTGCGCCAGAATGCGACCGTGTCGGCCTGATTCGGTACTGGGCCCGTTCCACTTACCATTGGTCGCTCCAATGATTTATAGAGCCTCTTCTGATCACTCTGGAAGAGACGATTCTGGTTGAACCGTGTCGACCTCTCGGTATATCGCCGAATTCGCTTTCCCCAAGCAGCGATTCTCTGCTTCAGGTCGTCTATGCGCTCCGTCAGTTTTTGCATTATATCCGGCTGGGACAAACTAACATTTGTCCCAGCAAACGCCATCCTGACGGTGCGCACAATCCTTGGCCTGGTATTGCCTGACCTGAAGCATATCAGTCTGCCGATGAGGGCCCTAGCCTTTGCGATACGTTCTTCAATTCTTGTTCTCCAGGCTGGGATAGCACTACTTTGTCCAGTAGTGCGTTTAGCCGTGGAAAGTTTGGCGCCTATAATACGGCAGACTGCCAGTGCGGCGCCAAAGAGAATTGAGTCCGTCTCGCAAAGGTCCCGGCTGGCTTCCAAATAGGTCACCAGCATTGGGTTCAGAGCCCTCACGACAGCCCGATTCCGCTTGCTTAGGGCTATGCGGGGAAGTCGCGGTCGATTTTCGGGAGGCGTACTGCGCGTTTCGCCTCTTCCAATGTACTCCTCATTTGCTCTATTTCTAGTTCCTGGGTGAATGTTCCATCATCATTTGAATCAGCAACCACTGGGGTATTCTCGGCGGCATCCACGTGTGCGGGTTGTTCTGCAACTTGTGGCACCGCACCCTCAGTCGTAGCGTTTTCATTTGATGAGGGAACAGCCTCACGTCGTAGCCGTTCGAGTTCGGCGCCATCAAATATATTTGAGCGTAAGATATACCGAACTCGGTCTGCCAGGTTTTGCTCGGTGACAGTAATAGATGGCTCCAGCTCAGTAAAAAGACGATGCATCCTAGCCCGATACGCGAAACCTCCAATTTCTCCCCCTTTCGCCCTAAAATACGCCCGCAATGCGTTTGAATTCATATTGATGGTCCATCGCATGCGGCGTACTCCACCAGTGGCGGGTGCCGATTGCTGGGCCTGCGAAGACCCTGCCGACACCAAGCAAGCTGGTGGGGATGATGGATGCGAGGGGCTGCTGGGTGGTCGTGCAGCACCTCGCGCTCGGCTGGCGGTTCGCATGCTGTCGCGTCCAGCGCCAGCTCCAGACGCGCCCTGACGACCTCCAGGCAGCGGCCCTTTGCGCAATCTTCTATGTTCCATCATCCATACAGGGCGTCATTTAACGGGAGACGCCCAGACCCGGCGCCGTTTCATGGTGAGGCCATATGCACAAGCGGGCCCTTGCACCATCAATTTTTGCCGAGGCACGGCGCTCACACCTCTTGGCAAGGTGCTGACTGACTGCGCGGACGTAGCGGTTTTGTCACATAACCGTCGCGTCAACGGGCGATGGGGTCGTCACTTCCCTACGCCATATTATTATTATTATTATTATTATTATTATTATTATTATTATTATTATTATTATAATTTACATTCATAGTTATGTGTTTAGTATTCAAAAATAAAACAAAATAATTAATTCAAAAATGAAATTAAAAAGCTATTTTTGAATATCAAGCAAGTTGAGCCATCATTTCAACAGGTCATATTGCGGAATATTTTTATGAAAAAAAAAAGCGGAAATAGGTTCACCAGCAGCATGTGCTTTTGCAAATGTTTATTTTTAATATGAACATTTTGTATTTCTCGATATAAATAAACATTTTCATCGAGAAATACAACATGTTCATATTTTGATGTTATTGTTATAGAATTTTATTATAATATTAGGGTATGTAGTTGGTATTCAGTTAAAGAACATTACTAAATTCCATATTGCTTATGCAACTGCCCATCTAATTGACATTAAAACATAAACCTTCTTGCGAAACTTCACCAGATCTACTGTCAACATAGGTTTTAAATTGGAACATAAATGTCTTTCAACGTCCCTTAAAATTCCTCTATATAAGTCTGGAGTCCCTCGTTAGTAGTTTGCATTCAAATTTTATGCCGACATTCCTCATCGTTGTTTATGGCTTTCTAAGTTAATGCAAATTACATACCTCCATTATAAGATTACTATTAAAGTCTGTACGTAAGTAATAAATAAGAAGTATTTTCAACCGACCTAAAAGAAGGGGGAGGTTTTAAATTCGACTGTATTTTTTATGTGTGTTACCTCAGAACTTTTTTCAAGGTGAACCGATTTTGATGATTCTCTTTATTTAAAAGCTAGTGCATCTCATGTGGTTCTATATAAATTTGGTTGAGATCTGACAAGTAGTTTTTGAGTTAATCTTAATAATGCGCATTTGATTGACTTCGATGACATTGATGAAGTTCTCATTCTATTTAAATTGAAGTCGGTTGTACAAAACTCTTAATTTTACCACTTGGTTATATTGTAGTCGGTTGTACAAAATTTTTAAATTCACTACTTGTTTAATCCTTAATTTGCTTCTAAGTTTTAAAAAGTAAGATATCTTTAAAGTCAAATTATCTAAAATTAAACTCCATTAAAAATGCACAAAACTTACTTACTTAACTTACTTGTGACAATCTAACCAGTCCACCTGATGGTAAGTGGTTCTGCAGTCAATGGACACCTGCAGCCTGTCACCCCTGAATATTAAGATTAAATGCCCACAGCCTGTAATTAATCTGGCTTTCTATACCTACATAAAACGTAGTAAAAGTGCAAGTACATCAGGTACTGTACTGTACCTACTCAAACGAAGACAGAAAAAGAGTTCTACTAGTATATGGCATAATAATTAGGGTTAAAAATATTACGGTATAGCGATATATACTAAGACAGCGGAAGCGAGGGAATTTTTTACATTTAGCCAAAACTATCATGATTTAAGAGTCGCTGCCTTTATTATGTGATAAGTCTCCATTTACATCTAAATGTCTACGGGCATAGCCACCACCTTCTTGTTTATTTCTGGTAAGCAATGCGTTTATTATTGTGCTCCAGTTTGGAGAGTAAGAGAGCCAGAATAGTTATAGGCTGAGAGGCTATTCCATCTTACTAAGATCATGAGAGAAAATACATCTGTATACGTGTTTGTTTGAAGTTTGAAACATCAAGTGAGTTGTTATCTCATGGACTTGTACTTTGAGTAATTGTTTCCTTTTTTTGAAATAGATTTTTCATTATGTCATTAAGTTGCTTTTAAATGCGGTGGCTCATTTTTTTTGATGGCGTTAAAGATCCTGCGAGATTCAAGTAGAGTGTTATGGATTGCTTTATTTAATCTATATAATGAAGCTCTTGTCAGATTAATTTTGGTAAAACAACATTTCAAATCGTAAATAATGTCTTAAACCTCGCCCTTTCACTTCAGTGTCCTAGATTTAGTAACATCACAATCGGCCCTTTAGTTTATCGCAGAATATGTTGTGAAATCAAATTATATAAAATTTTGTTCCGTTGCTAATGCATTCAACACAATACAGATTGCTTTATCTTTTTACAAAATGGGTGTTTATGATAGTAACTATTGAATAATACATTAATTAATAAGGAACGACCTACTTTCGGGATTTATTTTTGTTGAAGATATTCATAATACACCATTAACACATAAAATTATAATTATAATACAGTCGAATAATTTTATGTTTAATTCTAACCCACTTTTTTATAGTTCTTCTTTTGTAAAAGTTTTAAATTTTATTTCCTCAGGTTTTAAATCTATTTTGCGATACATTGCGATACATCAAAATTAAAATCATGATAAAATAAACCAAATAATATGTATGTTTCTTCATTTATATAAGTTTTATAATAATAAAAATAAAATACTGGATTTTATGTTTCATTTTATATCACTCTTTCTCTGAAATATTAAAACATTCACAAAACTTAATCATATAATCTAAACTAATAAATACTCTGCTTGTTACGCTAGGAAATGAACAAAAACGTCTGCATTGTGTTATTTTAAAGTATGAAAACCAAACTGAGCGCATTGTTTTACTTTTCCTTTCTGTTGCGCATGAATACTGAAATTGCTTAACGGTTTCAGAGTTTGCAGACAACTACATCTCGCTTTATTATATTCTTTCATCTTGGGTCATAAAAATAATAATACATTATCATCATCCATTGCTAAAGTTTTTGCTTCACGTTTATAACATGAATAGAGACCCCACTTTATTATTTGATTGGTTAGTAAATTGACGAGTATTTCTGGTCTTAAGAAAATTATAGTCTCATAGTGTAATTATGTATTTAGAGGTCGACAATAGTACACGCTCTTGCAGCTATTATCGTTATATTATAACTTTCACCTCACATTGATAAATATTTTGCATAATAAATTTATTTAGTTATAAAATAGTTTGTCGACCAAATTGGTGATAATTTTTATATAGGATAGGGTGACATTTGTCACCCTATCCTATACAAAAATTATCACCAATCTCGTTTAACGAGCACACAGTCCACCAGACGGTAAGTGGTTGCTTTGGCCTGTAGACATTTACATCTATTTTTATATTACTTATATTATTTTTATATTATTTTTATATTTATATATACATTATATTTATTATTCTTAACTTTCGGTTGTTCTATCTTCAATATATGTTTAAACGTAATATTTTTACACGTGGTAGAGCCATGCTGCAGTTATATTAGTAGTATAGTTGTAGCACGAATGGATCGTCTCGACCGGGGAAGGACCACGCCCTCTCAGAATACCAGCGTAAAATAGCAGCCTAATGCTGCTGTGTTTTGTATGTGAGTGTAGAGAATCGGAGACCCTTTTTACTGGAAACGAGGCATTCCATCTTAGTCTTCACGTATGACAACGAATCTGCATTTTGATTTGTAATCGAGGACAAATGTATATGTCAATGGGCCACAACAACCACTTACCATCAGGTGTACTGTGTGCTCGTTTGTCATCCTATCCTATAAAAAAGGAAAAAAAGTTAAAAACATCGAAGTTGTAAAATAATAAATAATTATGAGGCATACTGTACAATACAGAGGCCACCTCTCAGAAGAGAGGAGCCCTGTGATCATTAGGAGAGGATTCATGAGGTTACATAAAGCTACAGCCTTTATAGCCTAATACTGCTTGTATTAGGCTATAAAGGCTGTAGCTTTATGTAACTTTACAGAATATTGCACAAAATAATGAGTGTGTATTCGACAGGAAACTCTACCTAAGAAGAAATTTGCGACTGAAATGTTGAGTAATTTCATTTGTCTTGTTTAGCGCTCTTAATACTGTTTTAATAGGGTCTCCCAACATTTCGTCAGCGGGTTCCATTTATCTAGCACGAAATAACAGTATGGTAATATGATTTACAGTGGCAGTTGCAACGTTTAATAAGACGTTTGCCGCCTTCTAAATGATATGTCACGCTATGACACGTCAAGCTATTTTAAAATTGTAACAGTTGCTTAAAGGCTTTAGTAATTATACATTTTGTATCTGTAAGCAACATGATGTACGCCTTTTAAATAAATGTTGTTGACTGACTTACACTCGTACATTAATATGTGCATTTTATAAAGCATAGAATCTTTTTCTTGCGTGTTTGCAAGAAAAGACAAATACTTTTTCTAACTTAGTTTACTACAACAATTGTGTTGTAGAAGCAGTGTTTTAAGAGGATATAACCGTGTAGTCCGTCATTATTTGTATGTTACCAACATATAATTTAACTGTAACATTACCAAGTAACTTTTGACTTTTTATGTATCTATTTTCCAACATGTATAAACCACGCCTCGGAGCGTGGTAACTATGGCAAAATTCCCTCTATGAGACATTTTATAGGGGAGATCTAGTTCTAGGTTCTACAGTAAAGTTTTACAAATTTTAATGGATGGATGGCGATACCCAGGTCAGGTAGAACCTACCTTAAAAGTGTAATGCCAAAATAGTAATTTGTCTCAGTCTCCATATTTAAGTATAAGCAGTATGACAACATAATTTATCATTTATTATTATTATTATTATCAAATACTTTACTCGTCTCTTGTATTAACAATCTTTATTAAATATTATCAATTATGGTTAATGTAGAAGAAGATTCCCTGTAGGTCTTACAACAGATTACCTTTCCTTACCTCCACTACAACTTCCAATATTCATTGCACCATGCACTCAGAAATAACTTTTACTCGAAATAATTTTATTTAGGTGCAATTTTAATCGTCTTCATCTCTTTTTTTTCATTGCCTTCATCATCAGTCATCAGCATTATAGAAATGTTCAACCACAAACGCTATGCTCGATAGGTAGGAATTAAAGACGTTCTCGCACCTTCGACGATTCTCTGCAACTTTTATAAATAGAATATTTAAAATCTTATTAATGTTTGATTGTCAACAAAATTAGCTATCGTATAATAATTTTTCAAATAATACTTAAGTTTGAATGTTAATATTTTTATTATCTAGGTTACTAATGAACATACAATTCCGAAGAAAGGACAATATATCATTATCTTACATCAACCTGTATTGCATCAATTTGTCGGTTGGATGACTCCGCTATGTCTTGTAGATTGTTTCAAAAATGTGCGGTAATTACATCGCGTTGTCTCGTTTTTCCTTGGCTTTCTCCTACACGCGTGTCCGCTGTAGCAGTACAGATAATTGCAGCTCGTTCGCTACACACGTTTTACGATATGCACTATTGTCACATTAGTGCGTAATCTACGTCATTAGGTTTTACGTAGTTTGTTTGTCTCCACACAACTTTAAACATAATAGCTTTTTTCATAGGATAGGATGACAAATGAGCACACAGGTCCACCTAATGGTAAGTGGTTGCTGCGGCCCATATCTACATCTACCCTTGATTACAAATAAAAATGCAGATTCGTTGTCACCCGTGAGGACTAAGATGGAATGCCTCGTCTCCGGTTCTCTACACTCACCATACGAAACATAGCAACATGAAGCTACTATTTTGCGCTAGTATTCCGTGAGAGCGTGATTCTTCCCCGGAGCCAACCCATTCGTGCCACAACTATACTACTAATATAACTACAGCATGGCTCTGCAGTATACATGGCTATTTATGATTTGAAACATCCTTATTTTAAGAAATAATATATAAGTACCAACTTCACGTTTTTCTTCCCCATTGTCCATCCACATGATGGCAGCGTAGGAATAGAAAATAATTGAATATTTTCAATGTATATTCCCTATTCTCTTAATATATATTACCCAACCTCTGTCCTGGAAGTAACCAGAAATTAACTCAGCGAAACTTATATTTGGACATTAATTTACAATATAATATGTTGTGCAATTAAATACAGGAAACATTTAGAAACACCACGGTAGCGAGCGATTTATTCCCAGGGGATCAATCATTAAATTTTTAAATAGGACGGAAACAATTTATATACATCATTTTGCATTTATTTGTATTACCGTTACCATTAAAATTTATTAAAGTCCACTGCTAAACAGAGGCCTCCCCATAGATTGCCTCATATAGAGGATATTTAGGGGATATTTATATAAATTCCGACTTTCATAACATAGGTCATCCTAGCATGAAAGTCAGGGGATCAACTTATCTATAAGTCCCTTATGCTAGCCATCTTGTTACAATTTATCTACGATAACATTGTGTTATGTTTAAGGCTTTATTTCTCAATAAGTTATTATTATTATTATAATTGGGGTATCTATATAGTTTTCTCATCTGGTTGGGTTCTATAAATATATAATTATAAATTAAAATGAAAAGATAAATAGAAAAAAAAAAATACATAAATAATAAAAACCACACACCCCCCCCCCCCATATTAGGCTTATTCGCAGGAATAGTCCTGTCCGTGATGATGGCCCGGTCCCAGTAGAGCCTGCCGCGGTCATTTTCGATCACGGCTTCCGGCAAGTACTTGTAATACAGCAATTTTCGGTCCACGAGACCGTATTTCAGAGCGAGCTCTAGATGTAGAATTCTGACTACTAAGTTGTGCCTGTGCAAGTACTCAGAGTTAGAAAGCGCCGAACAACCGGAGATGACATGCCTAAGTGACTCCCCGGGATGGCGACAAGCTTGACAGACGTCGACAGTGCCATCCTTTAGGATGTATCTCCGATAGTTGTTGGTCTTAATAACCTGATCCTGTATTGCACAGACAAAACCCTCGGTTTCCCCGAAGAGGTCACCGAAACGTAGCCAGTTGAGGGAGGCGGCTGTATCTACGTGGGGCTCATGTAGAGCCCTGTAGTACCTCCCGTGGAGCTCCTTCTCCTTCCATACGGTCTCCCGGTCGGAAATGCTCTGTACTGCCGGGTCCTGCCATTGCTCGTTGGCTAAGGATAGAGGGGTAAGTCCTTTATCACTAGAAATGACGTCATTATAGAATGGATCATGCGATCTCGCCAGGAAGTAATGACGGAGGCTGCACACTTCGCGATTATGTATGGTGAGCGCGCTCAAGAAACCACGCCCACCATGCTTTCGCGGCAAGTACAGCCTCGTTACCGACGATCTCGGATGATCATCCTATGGGACGTCATTGTAGTGCGGACTTTTCTATCCAGGGCGTTTAGTTCAGTCTGACTCCACCTAAGTATGCCAAAGGTATACATGAGGACAGGCATGACCCAGCCGTTATATGCGTGTGTCTTATTCACACCGGACAAAAGGCTGTTAAGCACTTTGGTCAAGCGTACATAAAACACGTCGAAAACTGACTGTTTCATACCAGCCTCATCGATACCGATGTTCTGTGACAACCCAGGTATCGGTATGTTTCAGCCTCGGAAAGTGTCCTTAAGTTGACGGGCATAGATAAGTCTATGCCCTCAGATTTAGCAACCCTTCCACTTTCAACATGGAGGACCACACACCTATCCGTCCCCAGCTCAATTCTTATAGAATTGCTAAATTCACAAGTGATGTTTAGCAATTCTATAAGATGGGAGCGACTGGAGGCGAATAATTTGAGGTCATCCATATAGAAAAGGTGGGTCACTTTTGTGCTACCTTTCCGAAGCTGAAATCCCCTCCCGGAGCCCTCCAGTAAAGCACTGAGAGGGTTCAAAGAGAGGCAGAACCAGATTGGACTCAGACAGTCGCCCTGGAATATACCCATTGTTATCCTTATGCGGCTTTCCGGAGCCGTCATCCGCTCACCTAGATGACAGAGGATCGTACTCCACTGCCCCATACACTGCTCGAGGAAGTCTCGAACTATACTGTCAGTCTTGTACAGCTCGAGGACCCTCTTTAGCCATGTATAGAGCACTGAGTCAAATGCCTTTCTGTAATCTATCCAGGCGGCGGAGAAGTTCCGACGGTTGCGTTTCACCACTTTGCCAATGACCGCGTTAATGAGGAGTGGTTCCTTGGTTCCACGACCGCCGCCCCGACGTCCATTTTGAGCGCGCGACATCACCTGATTTGAGTTCAGGTGACGAGTGATTCTCGCACTCAAAATGGACGTTAGTGTCTTGTATATGGTCGGTAGACACGTGATGGGCGGTATTTGCTCGCGTCTGTGGTACCCTGATCTTTAGAAACCAAATGAGTGATCCCAGTAGTGAAGAGCCTCTTGCTCGGGAGCGATTTCTGGTTGAGAGCCTCTTGAAACTGTTTGGCGAGCACAGCATGACACACCATGAACCCCTTCAGCCAGCAGTGATGCAGCAACTGGCTTGATGTCGGCAGGGTCTTCGCGGGCCCAGCAATCAGCACCCGCCACTGGTGGAGCACGCCGCATGCGTTGGACAACTCAAATGAACAGCAACGCATTGCGGGCGTATTTTAGGGCGGAAGGGGGAGAAATTGGAGGTTTTGCGTATTGGGCAAGGATGCATCGACTTTTTGCTGAGCTGGAGCCATCTGTAACCGTCACCGAGCAAAACCTGGCAAACCGAGTTCGGTATATCTTGCGCTCAAATACATTTGATGTCACCGAACTCGAACGGATACGACGTGAGGCTGTTCTTTCATCGGATGAAAATGCTACGGCTGAGGATGCGGCGCCACAATTTGCTGAGCAACCAGCAAACGTGGATGCCGCCGCGAATCCCCCGGTTTTGGTTGATTCAAACGATGATGGAACAGTCGCCCAGGAACTGGAACTGGAGCAAATGAGGAGTACATTGGATGAGGCAATTTTGGAAACGCGCAGTACGCCTCTCGAAAATCGACCGCGACTTCCCCGCATAGCCCTCAGCAAGCGGAATCGGGCTATCGTGAGGGCTTTGAACCCAATAATGGTGACCTATTTAGAAGCCGGGACCTTTGCGAGACGGACTCAATTCTCTTTGGCGCCGCACTGACAGTCTGCCGTATTATAGGCGCCAAACTTTCCACGGCTGGACACACTACTGGACAAAGTAGTGCTATCCCAGCCTGAAGAACAAGAATTGAAGAACGTATCGCAAAGGTTAGGGCCCTCATCGGCAGACTGATATGCTTCAGGTCAGGCAATACCAGGCCAAGGATTGTGCTTCTTACAACATCTACGGGATGGTATGGGGTAGTGGATATTCTTACACCGCCATTACACGGCTTATTTATTTGCTTATTTTACATTATTAAGCTGTAATTGCTAATTTCAGGAACCAGCTGCTCCCGTGGAAGAACCCCAAGAGGACCAAAAATCTGCTGGGTATGTGAAACTTTTTTGATTTTGATTAATGACTGCAGGAAAAAGGCACCAAAGATGCGAGACATATTGTATTGCAAGCGCTAATTTGCGTGTCAAGCGAGGTGATAATGGCAGTTCCTTATTCCTACTGTGCGAGTAGCCAAGTATTTTCTTAATCAATGATAAATGAAAAATGGGTTTAAATAAGTTTTTACAGAATATGATTATATATATATTTTACAGATAGTAAGGTGATGTTGTGGCCCACATCCTCGATTAAGATCAAAATGTAAATACGTTATCACCCCTCTAAAGACTACAATGAAACGCCTCGTTTCCAGTAAAGAGAGTTTCTAGTTCTTTACCATCACCTGAAAGCAGCTAATCTGCTTTTTTACACTAGCCTGATGTAATAACCTATATTGAATAAAGATATCTATTTTTTATTTTTTTACGAGTTATAGTGGTACTAGAGCTGTATTGTGGCTACAGTAAGAATGGACCAAAAATCTGGTGAAGGACGTTTTCACAAAATACCAGCGTATAAAGGCAACATAAGAAACTTGTACTGCCATCTTAGTCTACAGGAGTGACGAAGCATTCGATTTTGTTCGCAGGAGTCCATTGGCTGCAGAAGCCACGTAATATCAAGTGGATATAGCTTGTTTATATAACGCGTAAAAATTATACCAAAAAGTTATTCTGTTATTTAAACAGTGAATACTTTGATCTCGTAATCAATTGACAAGAAAATCACCATTATCATTGATTTTTAGAGTTTTAAACACGATCTTAGGTCCATGGGTTTAAAATTCATGTCAATACTAATGTTGAACATCTTTTAATATTTTACGATATGTTGAGTTCTTTAAAATTACTTACTATCCTCCTATTATATTATTCATGTTCTATTACAGGAGAGCCGAAACAAATGAGTATAGACCCGGTCAAGTTTTTTCTCTTAACGCGCAAGAGTTATTAGATCTTCAACCGGAAAGACAAGCACCCGTGGCGAGCAATCAGCAGCTTCAACAGCTGTATGATAATCCGCAGCCTGAACACAAGCAAAATTTACAGCCTTTATACTATTACGATCCACAACTTGCAGGACAGGTATTTAATTCCGATATATCATATTGCTTTTTACTCTTGTTTCAATTTATATCCCACATTTAAACAGTATTTTATGTATCGCATTATTGGTTGTGTGTTAACGATTTAGTCTTGTGGGTGTTGTTAGAGACGACTTCAGGAAGTACTAAAAGACCTAATTGCATCTGATAGATAAATGTATAACTATCTAGTCCAGAAGACAAAAAAATACCCGGACTGTCATCGGTAAGGGAAAGCTTTTTGAAAAATGCTTCTTCTAATAAAAGAACAAGACATCATCATCTCGATGGCTAGAAGCCCTCTTAAATCCCTTTTAGCAGAACCGTCCTGCCACAAACGACTATAATATGAAATTTACCGTTATCACTGTTTTTTCCGAACCGATATGATTAAGAAAACTTCAAGAAAATAATCTGTAACTTTGTAAAATGTCGACTTGCGATTCCTGTGATTTCGCATTATATTCATTGCCAGCGGTAGTCATTTATCATCTGGTGATCAGAATGCTCGTTTGCCCCTTCTTCTATAAAAATTTATAAGCCATTAATTATAAATGTAATGGTCCTATAGATGTCCTAGTTCTGGGCATAGGACTTCTCTATTTCTGAGGGCTATGAATCAATTAGTCCCCCTTACTGCTTTAGTTCGTATTGGCTATCAGATGTCCTCCAATTTTATCTAATAATGTTTCTTAGATATGCGAATTTTTTCGTGATGTTTTTAATCAGATTCTACTGTATCTGCTCTATCTATAGTCATTCTGTTGTAATTCAGCACTTCAAATTAAGAAAAACAATTTTATTGGTGCTGACGAGGAGAATTTCGTAACGAGCTAGCAAACTAGCCCATTACGAAATTAATGGCAAGCCCCTGAACCATAATTGTGTAAATTCTCTAACGTTTAAAAATATAAAACAATGACCGGATTTTAATTTTTTAGATGTCTCTGCAACCATCACATGCAGTCATCGCACGCCCTGATTATTCCTCTAACGGCGGAGAAGCATCAGTAGGTGCTGCACTTTCTGTCAGTGACACTGGCAATACTCCTTCTCATTCTTTTGACCAAGAACTATTGACTCTACTCGGCCATTCAGCACGACAAGAAGATCAACGACTTCAAGCATACACGCAAACGCAGCAACCGTTGCAAGTCCTACCACAAAATATAGGACAACAATACCAGCAGGTGAGAAGTCATTTGTTTGCAATTTTCAAATTACTCTTGAATATATTTGATATAAATAAAACTCGACTTTTTTATATTTCAGATCGAAAACTATTTATCAAAACCTGGTAAGAAACCGACTAACCTAAGATCAAATGTTCCAACAGAATCGTCAACAGCTCCTCAGCAATATTTAATTGAAACCACTAACGTGCAACCACAGCAACAACCATTACAGAACCAATTCCATTTCGCACAACCTCAACGTGCACCACAAACTCTACGTTACATCCCGATACAACCAGCTCAACCTGATTTACAACAAACTTTGTACGATCGCCCTGAATCCCAAGGTCTAAAAATTGTACCAGCTCCTAATTTACAAAACCTACAGCCGCTTGCTCAAAATAATTACCCATTTATACCTCAATATCTGCAACCAGAATTAGTTCCAAACCAGTACAGGTTTGTTGATACACAAGGGCAACAAATTCAAGCGATTAGTCAAGAGCAGCCCCAAATTGTGATAGGAAATATTGAAAGACCATTGACTTATTTAAAACGTATCCCAGAACATGAAAAAGTACGCACAGTTAAAATCTATAATCAAGCCGGTTCAGAAGGTTTAACTTTAGCGTCCCAACCTGTACAAATTGGTGAACAGTTCTACCTTAGACCTTTACATCGATCAAATGACCAAAGAGGAAGATACGAATTGTCACCGCAAGCTTTGAAATCTGTGGAGCAAGCTAGAGCTATTGGATCAACAAAAGCTCCGCTTTCAACTATATATGTCAACAAGAAAATTTCTCCGAAAAAAGTTGTAAGACCCTCACAGAAATCGGAACAGTCAGCAAGAGGCCAATTTTTCAGAATAGAACAAAAATCTAAGAGGTTGGAGCAAATATCTGCAGATCAACAGAGTAAAGCTTTCGATGAACAACGTGCACGCTTGCCACCTCCAAGAAACAATAAAGCCTACACGCCTGAAGAGTTTGCTGCTTTAGTTGCAGCAGGTTATTCTGTGACTCCTGTTCCAGTCGGAAGTACCGAACAACAAGCACAATCTAGATCTTTTTTGGAGTCAATTCAAATTCCGCAACGCCGTCCATTATACAGTAAACGTCACCAATATCTTCCTTTGAGATATGATGAGGCGCCTTAAATCATAACTATGTACAGAATTTTAGTATATACTTTAGATAATACAGCTATTTTGTAATTTATCAAGCTTTTAATAACATTTTTCCTTATATAAGACTTAAATTGAAACTGTAAAGTTCCTTCTGTGAGTCCATGTATGGGGAAGGCCTATAAGGATAGTAACGGTAACGGTACGTCTTTGTGGGAGTGGACAATATTGTTATATTGTTGTTATATTTGATACGAATACCCGCAAAGGTAGTGTTGCTAAAATAAAAGTTTGACATGATATTATTCCTTACCTCCTCTTTATTACACCCTTTTTCAATCTTTTCTAATAAGAAGATAAAATAACACCTAAGCAACAATTTAAGTACCTTTGATAAATAGTAGTAAGTATTACTAAATGGGTTGAAAAATATCTAAATCAACTTTCTAATTTCAAAACTAATACGATACCAATCAGTATAGATAAACAAATATTGGTAAAATTGAGTTCAACCAGAAATCAGAGCTGAACTAATTGAATTTCATATAATCTAATCTGCAACTAATTTAATAATGGTTCAGGAGTAAATTTTAAATGAACTTCATTTTAAATAAACCTATATGTATATATAATTTTTCATATGAATATTATTAGTTTAAAAATATTTTTTATAATTCTAAAGTGACAATGTACAGTCCACCTGATGGTACCTGGGCACCATATCCTTGGCAGCTACAGCCAATTTCAAACAAAGAATCTACAGATGCGCCTGTAATTATACTGACTCTATACCCTTCAGAATATAGCAATGGAAGCACTGCTATTTGGCGGCAGAAATAAATAATAAGAAGGTGATTTCATACAACGGATGGTGGAACCAACCCAGACCGTCGCTTACGCAGGAAAGAAGTCCAGCCACAGATGAATATGTTTCTGAAGAATTATTGTTCAATAAAACAATTACAGTATATTGTTACCATGCACCTACCTATTTATACACTCTTGGCTTTAATATTTGGGAAGAAGTATTAAAATCACAATACAAAACACTAAAATGTGTATGTTATAATATGTTATGTTATGTAATAACACTAAAACAAACAACTCCCTTCTTTCATTTTTTATACACTCTTGGCTTTAATAGTTGGGAAGAAACATTAAAATAAATACACTATATAATATATAAATTAGCAGTCGCAGTTTCAAATCTATAATAAAACTTAAACGGGTATGTTATAATATGTTGTAATAACACTAAATCAAAAAACTCCCTTCTTTCATTTTTTAAAGGAGCTGTTAAGTTTTAAATTATTATTCATGCCGTCTTACAGTAACATATACAGCAAAAAGTATAAATTTATGTTTAAGATTTTTTCTTTGAATAAATATACATTCCTTATCCTGTGTGTAATGTGAATTGGTTGCTACGCAAGCCCGAGGCTAGTAAACCAGAAAATTATACGGAAATTCAATTTCAGTTCGGGAACAAATTTTGTTATAAGGGTAATATTGTTGGAAAATATACATATTTTAATACAATTCCAAGCGAAAACGATTCAAATTGTTTCGTTTTCATTATAGGATTTACGAAAAAATACCAAGGCCATGTGATGTCGACGCGAAAGAATTCATTTCGTTTAATGAGTGTCGACAGGGGCGAAAGTTATAAATATTAAAAAGATTTTATGATCTCCGATGGTGGTATGTCTATACCCATACATCCACCATCTATCGGTCACCGTACACATATACCCCATATAATTTTTTTTCTTTACAACCCTTCAAAAGCCCACCACTGAATATTGGCCTCCCCCACGAAATACCACACAGCACGGTCCGAAGACACTTGCATCCATTGGAAGCAGCTGAGTGGCAAACGAGAGTTCCCTTTGTGATTTGTTCTTTATTTTTCTAGTGAGGCGCAAATGTTGAATGAATTCCCAGCAAATGGGCGAGATATTTATACGTTTTCTAGTGACTTTCTAGAAACTTCTCTGCCTCAGCCCCCCTGACAATTATTCTTAATTATATGAAAATTATATTTATTTACATATATTTTCCCTATATTAAGTCTTAGCTTACATTTTGCTACTTACATTAATACGAGTTACGGCGATCTGTTTATGGAGGTGATCTCGTCATCGGGATCGAGAAGAACGTTCTTAGGATGTCTTCTGGTGGGGGCAGCATCCCTCTCTGGGGAGGACGAACCCGCCTCAACCATCAACGGATTTTGGTGCTCTTTGGTCGAAGATACGAAGAGATGGTGGGCATATTGAGGTCGCGGTGGAGATCCACGTTCCTCACATATATGGAACTCCTGTAATACGACGCAGGAACTTATTTTGGACAACTTAAGTTGCTGAAGTAGATAAGGTTGAGCATGGGCAAAGGTTACTCTTGCATAGGTCATAATCGGACATTGTGTATGTGTTTTATAGAGATGCAGCTTGAATCTTAAGGACAGCTTGCTGCGTTTATTTGTTAAGGCGATAAAGCGATATACTACAAATTTCGCCTTATTTATGAGGGCTGTTATGTAATGAGAGAAGCTCATCGTATAATCTTATGTTACCCCCCGGGTATTTCACCTCTTTAACCCAGGGAAGAAGGCTATCATAGAGGGAGAGTCTATCCTTTCTGTGTCGCTTGAGTTTGAGGATTAATTTATTATTGCAAGCTTTCTTGTTGAACATGATCGCTATTCGGGAGCGCCCTTTAAATATCACCCCACTCCTCGGTTCATTAGTATATAACGCCCTATGGAGCTTACGCGCGCCTTCCGGTCCTCAGTGAAGCGTTGGTGCATTCACACTCATTATTATAAATTAATACCTACCAAAACATATCATTCTTTTTAATCTTTCAATAAAACGCAACAAAATATAACACTTTATTTACATACATACTTATATGCCTGTAATACGAGTTTGATTTTATAATATTACTAGCTGTTACCCGCGGCTTCGCACGCATGGTCACTGGGAAATGAATTATCCATTGCTTTTTGAATTGAAAGAAAACTGAGTTTTATAGATTTGTCAGAGATGCTGCCATTAAAAGGAAACTGAGCAAAATTGATTTGTCAGCCTATTTAAATGTTTTGAAACGCAGCGTATAGGAAAGCATGAAAATAGCCTGTTTATTCCGAATGGAAATGGGATATTTTTTTAATTAAAGGAAACTGAGCATAATTATCCGTCAGGGATGCAGACTTTTGAAAAGAAACTGAGCTACTTGATTCATCAGAGATGCAGTTTTCAGAATTGAAAGGAAACTGAGCCAAATAAAAGATCCGTCAGAGATTTTTGAGTTTGAGCCTTTTGAGTTGAAAGGAAACTGAGCTTAATAGGTCCGTCAGAGGTGCAGCATTTGGAATTGAAAAGAAACTGAGCTAAATAGGAAATTTTGAATTGAAAGGGAAGATCCGTGGTAATTCTGATTAATTGATTGTGGGAATTTTGGAAAAAAAACTAACTGAACACTATTTTAAGACGCTACTACTACATGTTATATGTTTTTCCATTCGGGGAAAGAATGTGGAGATTCTGGGCATTTGACACACGCGAACATGCTACATACAGCTGACCATGAGAGAAGCACGGTTTTTCTAAGATGACCCCCGCTACCTGTAACGTTTGACTTTGCGCTTTATTAATTGTCATTGCAAAACTGAGCTTAATAGGGAACTGCAACCTTTTGAATTGAAATGGAAGATCTGTGGGAATTATTGGGATCCGTGATATAATAACATTTTCACCTTTTCCTACGCCTGTCAAAATTGTAGCACCGATTATGTTCCGTCCAAGATGTGTCACACGCAGCGTTGTCCCGTTAAATAACCGAGGAGCATCTACATTTCGCACTAGCATGACTGGGACGTCTAATTTTAATTGAAGCTTATGTGAGGGCACACCTGACAACTCTAGAGAATTTAGAAACTCTGTGGGATATGAAGTGCTCTATTCTGTGTCCATAACTGTGTCTACTGACAAATACTCTTGTTATTTCTCCTGCTACTTCGCTTAATATATCACATATATCACACAGTTGATTACATACATTAATTTTTGTACTTTTAATCTAAATACTCTAGCAACTAAATCGTGTCTTTCAGTACTTTTTGGCCCGGCATTAGCTCCTCGGTTATTTCTTTCCAAGTGGGATTGCAAGTAAAAGTAACAAAAAGATCAGGTCTTCCGTAAGTTCGTACATAGGCGCGGGTAGGTAGCGGGGACTGTTAACGAATGATGAGGGCAGAATTACCATTTTACCTAAATCTCTGGGACTTACATTGGCGTCGCTAGAAACTGCATCTTGTAAATGTATATAATTCTCAACGCGCAGCTTTTTTTGATTTAAAGATATGTAACGGAGACGTTCACTTTCTACCTTCACATACATGTCTTCCAAAAATTGATGAAATAATTGTCTACACCGGGCTAAGAGGTTAAAATCATTTTCTCCCAACATGATATGATACGCATAAAAATCCATACATGGTACTTTTTTGTTCGGAGTAGGCTCCTTTGTGACCGGGTTAATGAGTGGAATTTGAAAATGATAACCCTCTTGTCCTTTGCAATAAATCAATGGGTATTGCAGAGCGTCATAAAACTTGTATGTATCGGCTACCCGTTACAACGTATCATTACGTGCTCGCAAAACAATGTCTCGTGAAGAAAATTGGTCACCACTAATTACGGCTGCTACTTCGTTTATCAAAGGTTTTCTCTCCTAAGGGCCATTATAATCCTCTTCGTAGGTTTTCTAAAGCAGTTTTAAATGTTTTGACTAAAATGTTACGTTGATGCAAGAATCTTTGAATTTTGAACACTATGTCTCTCTCAACGCCCTGGATAAATTGGCAGCGACGGTCTACCTCAATTTCTTCGTTAACCATAAAATATACTTATAAAAATTTATGCTGTTCGTTTTCAGCTGGAAAAAGTGAACCTATTCTATGATAAATTTGCCCTTGTACCGTAAATGTAGGCGAAAATCCCGGCATTAATTATTTCCCGGTCAACTCC